GCCGCTACTGGAGATCCTGCCCGAGGAAAATCTCTTGTTCATGGTGTGCGTGGTCGGTGGCATATGGTGCGGCTACAGAGCCAAACTAAACGCGGACTATGCGGCGCAGGAAGGCGCCGTCACCGTGCAGGGCCTGGAGCTGGGTGAGGGCAGCGGTGAGCTCTGCGCTACATGCAGAAGAAGAGCACCGCCCAAAGCCCATCACTGCCGCTTGTGCCAGACCTGTATACTTAATAGGGAATATCATTGTAAATGGTATAATATATCTTCTCTATTTTTTAACTATTTTGAATTATATAATTAGTCTCTTAGAATTTTGTATATCAGCTATCTCGACTTTTTGTATTTTTCAGGTTGGATTGCTGTATAGGTTCCAACAATTTAAGATGGTACTTAGGTTGTTTATTCTTTTCTGCGATAGCTTTCATCTATGGTTCCAATTTGACTATGACCAGTGTTTGTCATCCATTTATACTCATCGGAACCATACTTCTACCAGATGACTGCAGTGATGTATATCATCAATTAGAGTATGTATTACTTTACTGACTATATATTTTAATACACATTGATAATGTCAAACATGCGACTCTTGAAATTGTTTCATGACAAAATTTTATGTAAACATTTATATCACAAATACAAGAAATGCAATCGAGTATTACTGATACCAAGGTTTGCTGAAGTAAGCTGGAAAGATACAAAGGCTCTATAAAGTTTAATAATCATAAGATAATGATAATTGTCGAGTCTGCAAGAATCAGTATCATAAATATTGTAATATCTCTTATTTTTTTGCTTTTTGATATATAAAAGTTTGACAGATAACTTGTCGCACAATTGTTCCCTCGTGCTGCCCGAGTCGGTCGATATGTAATAATGTGTATATTGTTTTAGCATCGCCCTTTGCTTCGTCTCTGCACTCTACAGCCTCCTTGTTGGCCTAGTGCTCTTTTGTTATCTCGTGTATCATCTATGGCTGCTTTCTCTCGGCACAACGTCGAATGAACGACGATTAGATGCGGGAAGTCAGTACGATCATGGAATTTTAAAGAATGTATCTCGATTATTTTGCTGCAAAACTTAAAGATATTTGTAAGTCAGGTAACTTTTTGAATATATTTTGCACAGTGTATGTATTATATTCTATACAAAAGATGTAATGAAATCAAGTTCAACAAACTAGAGAAAAATAAGGCTAAAAAATCTGTCATGGCGCTAAGTCATTCGTCGATGTTGATACATTCATGTAAAATAGAGGATCGGAATACAGTCATTCATATCGGTTCAATCGCACAATTCATCTATTTATTAATATATTCTAATATTTACATCTTTGCAACAATTCATAACTGATGCGAAGTACAATATGTATATTCCTGTTGTATATGTAAGATCATTTCTGACATATCATGAAGCACCAATTCTCATGAGACTCATCATTATTCTTAATGTATGAATGCGCATATGTATATTTATTGTAACTGTGATAAAGTGGCCATTGTATGAATAATATAATGAATTATACTAATCGATTATGATCCAAAAGAAAAATTAAAGAAAAATTATGATAAAAAGGAAAGATCTAAATACAAATGTATAGAGTAATGATTTACGAGTAATAATTTACATTTTATTCTGTGTATAAAATGCTTTATCTTAGGTGTATTTAAGAATAAGACTATTCTCTATACCTCATTCAGATATGAGGCCAACGATTGTCTTACAGTATTAAAAATCTATATTATCTTTAAATTCATTGCTAGTCTTCTAATATTACACCTCTTTGTCTGGGGTCGAAGTCTGGAACAACTTCTTGCACTATTTCTCGCCATGTGTTTTTTATTCGTTCACTTTCCAGGATATCTGGCACTATTTTTGGATATCTTTTCCACATGTTGAAGTATCTTGTTTTCAATTTTTCTTTGTAATGTTCTAAAGCTAAACGTTCAGTCCTCAATCGCTCAGCTTTATATTCCACAGTTTTTATCTTCCACAATTTGAAACATTTGTTTTGTAATTTCATGTCGGAGAAGTCTTTAGCCACTTGCTTTTTTTGTCTCTCCTCTCTCGCCATTTCCTTCCACTTTTGTAACATGTACCACAATAAATTTCTGTTGTACAGTGATATAGCTAACTCTGTTTTAATTTGACTTTGACGTTCTGTTTCTATTTTCCATCTCACGAATGCTTTTTGCAGTAAGCACCGTTTGTAGTGGTCCTCAGCTTTGTTTATATAATTATTCTTCATTTCAATGAGTGCAATGAATGGTTCCATTATGTATCGTCGCAGCAAATGCTTGCGATAAAATTCTTCTGCCATGACATTCAGTTTCCTATATCTTTCCATTTCGCACGTTCGTTGTTGTTCTCGTTCCTCGCGCATTCTTTTTGCTTCACGCAAAGCCTGAGGACAAAATCTTATATAATTAAATGCGGGTATATTTCTAAAATGTATAAGCGGTATAAGCGAAAACAAAAAGTACTTTATAAAGTATAAAATATATAAAGTATTGTATCAGTATGTAGTTTATTATTATACAATATAACATTTACTAAAAACGCGTATCCCTCACGAGAGATATAATTTTGTCTGCAAGGTGAAAATTGTGTGAGAGTTAAGTGTATACGATATACCTACTATATACTTAATATAGTTTGACCTCTCATATTATCTGACCTCTTGTTGCGATCTTTTCCTCTCTTGCTCCTCCTCTCTCCTGGCGGCTTCTACTTTCCTCCTCTCGTCCTCTAGTTTCTTCTGCCGTGCTTCTTCACGCAATTTTATTCTGTTCTTCCTCGCTTCCGCCCGCGCCTCCATCCTCACTAGAAATCTAGGTGGACTTGGCACCCGTACCGGCGGAGTTAAAGACTTGTCTCTGTTAATTAAAGGGAAACGTGTAAAGAAATGTCAAAGTATGTTTGTGTAACTTGCATCGATTTAATTTACTGTGATGTAAAAGATTAGATTCGAACGTACATCTTTTTGAGATATCTTTAAGATTATATTTCACAAGCCATTGTAATCAGATAGTAATCAACGGATCCACTTTAATATTGTAACAGTAGCTTATAATATCCGTATCTTTATACTTCAAGATAAAGAAACATTGTATATTTTACATAAAATGCAAAGTTAATTAAAAAAGATGCAATTTAAGACTCAGGAATTTTATAATTGATTGTGCAATTATATCTTTTTAAGATAAAAAAAAAAACAAAGCTTCCTCTATGAGGAAGCAATTTATAGACATTTCTTAAATTGTGTCTTTATGAAATTTATAATTATAGGACTACCTGTAGCCTGCTTGTCTCATTAATTGTATCAAAGTTCTCCTAGTTTGCTGACCACAATGCGTCAGGGTCTCCTTAGCTGCATTCATTGTCTCTTCACCAGCTTTCATTATTTCCTCTTGCATCTGTTTCAGCTTCAGTTCTTCGATGATCTTGCTCTGCTCAGCCAATCTCATTCTCTGCTTGTGGATAATCTCTTTCTGAGCGTTCAGTCGATTCTGTGCCGGCGATTCGATGACGAATGGCTTAGCAGGAGTTTTCTTCCTAACTTTGGCGTCCCTCGTATTCGGAAGAAATTTCTTGGACTCTGTTTTCTGGAACTTCGTCATTTCCTTTTGCGTTTCCGTGATAGTATCAATGAATACCTCGATCTTACGGACATCGGAATTTTCCGCCGCGTGTTCTCGTCGAGTCTTCGCCTTCTCTACATGCATCCTCCATACGCGGATGCATGATTTTAGATTTCTTCGGGATGCGATGCTCTGAATATTGATCTTGATCTCGCGAAGACGTCGTTTATTCCGCGCATTCTCACGAAGAGCCTCGAAGCATGATCTCAAAACATTTAATCGATGCTCCTCATAGTTTGATTTATCCCTTATAGTCACCTTGATGTTACCGAAAGATACTCCTTCAATCTTGTTTAAACTCGAACATTGCTTGGCATCTTTCGATTCAATGGAGGCAACTTCCGCGAATGCCTGTTTGATTTTCTTTTCGACCATCACTTTCTGCTCGGCCGTTTTGCTTCTCCTTTTATTAATAAGGACCCGCTGAAAATTGTTTCACGCGTTTATTAATATATATTTTTAACTTGAATAATTAAGCATATTTAAGATAAAACTCGATGAACAAATAAAATTATGATTCGTCTTTATTATATAAAATGCTTAATTTATCAACTCTTTACCTCGGCTCTACTAGATGTTCTCCAAAAGTTTTCGTCATTTGAGCTAGCTATAGTTTTTCTGCTGCATGGTCCGCAAAATTTAGGACGAGACTTTTGCAAATTTTGCTCAAATTTGTGTAATTCCCTTTCTATAAAAGCCTGTTCTTTCTTCAGTTTTAATTCCTTCATTTCTTCCTCGGTTAATAATCTACAACGAGCATATTAATATTCGTTTGATTTATTTAGATAACTTTATTATTATTTGCATCAATTAATTATGTGATTATATATATACATAATTTTATTTATCTATGATAACAAAGTTGAATAAGCATGATAAAATAATAAAAAAATTAGAAATTATATTTGTAAATTATATAATATTATATAATAAATTATATAATAAATTATATAATAATTAAATGGGAAAGAGCACACACACACACACATACTTTCGGGCCTCTGCTAGTATAGAAGACTTTGTTTGAAAACTGGTGAAATTTTCGCGAAATATTCGATGCCTTGCATCCATAATTAGATTTGGATCCGGAAAAGCTTTCTTCTCGTCTTCTACCATTCGACGTTTCTCGGATGACTTGAAAATCGTCACTTTCATCATCTCGTCCATAATCTTATTCACTTCGTCAAATTGCACCATGTTTGTCAAATGATCTTGAAATGATCTTTACTATTAATATAATAATTATCGTGCATATTTACATCGATCAATTCATATCGTGAACTGTGCTAGCGTCTTGTTTATGCGTATCTGCTTCTGTTGTTAAGGTAAGTTTCAGTTCCCCAACCCTAAATGTGAATGTCCCAACCCCCATTCATGAGTTTGACGAAGACAAGAATAGAAGTGAGAGTTGGGGGAGAATAAAACGCTACTAATATTAGTCTGCACAATGCATTATTATTTTTGTCGCAAAAAATAAAATAATTCGAATTATTTTTTTAAATTAACAATATGCTTAAACATTATATTATGCAGTATGTTGTAACTTTGAGTTTTAGCATAAAAATGTTAAATTTCATAACTTTAAATTAAAAAAATAATATATAAGCAAGTTTATATAAGTAATATTAACTTTTTAGTTATTCAATATTTGCAATTGCAATCATAATATAATGCATAAATATATGTACAACTTACATATTTGTAAGATAATTATACAATCTGGAAAACAGTTTCCAATTTATAATTTTGAAATTTCCCGCTGTTTCAACGGTAGTCAATCGTGATTCGAGATTGACATCGTCGATTGTTGACGGCCAGTGCTAGTGCTGCTGCAGCAGCAGGTGCATCACGGAGTGAGAGGTGCATCGACTTTGAAACCTGTATATTGAGGCTGGTAAGTCTTCCCGAAGACTTTAAATCAATGGAAACGCGTTGCACGAACACCTGTTTCTCGCGTGATGATTTCGTCCCCTCCTCACGTTAATTTCGAAACATCGAGAATTGCGTGTGGCAGTTGACGCAGTTTGGTCTCCTAGTCTGTCAATCTCTTATATGTCAAATGTCATTTTAATATAGGCACAGGCGACAAAATATCAGACTTCTCTGGTGCGATACAAGACGTAAAATGGATCCAAGGGGCCCTCCTGAGGGGGCCCCTGCCGAGTCTTTCGAGATATCCAGCATCGACAAGGGGGCTGACACCTCGGTGAATTGGCCTATTGATCACGCTTTCGCTTCATCCTTGTGTGAACAATCGAAAAAATTGAATAACAGACTTTTGTTTTTGACGGTGAGTAATCTTTGACGACGAGTGACAATGTCAATGTGATACTGTTCCTACAATATATCACTTTGTTACCAGGTGGAATATGTGGAGGATCAATCCCGTCTATTTCCCACATACGAACAGATTTCTCTCTCTCCAAGGGCAGCCTCACCTCTGTCCGAGTTCGAGCATCGCGTTAGTCCGCTTGATCCAAACATGAGTTCTGCCGCTAGGTATTCTCCCACACCAGTCCAACTACCTTCTTCTCCTTTCCACAACTCTGTTGTTGTGCTTCAAGGTCCATCCTCTCCCTTGATATCCCAGCCTGAACCAAATATAAGAACGAGCATCAATTATGTGACTCAACTGACCCATCCAATCGATGCTCAAGTTGTACCTCAAACAGACGCTACCACAGACTTTGTTGGCAATGGGAACGAAGAGGGATTGGTGTCGAGTGTTAGCAGCGAATTGATATTAATGCAAGGTAAGAAATAATCTATTTATAAAATAAAATAGTTGTACATACTTTCATGGTTATTGGATTATTGTATAATACTTGCAGAAAGTACATCTGAGTTGGAATCTTCAGCAACTCCTTTAATGCTAACAGGAATACCGGGTGCAGACTTCACTCTGACTAGAGATTTCTTAGTCATGCAAGATGATCAAATAAATGTTATCAACACGTTTAAAAATCAAAATATGGAGATAGAAAACAGTCATGTTGCTTTACCATCTGTAATAGAAGATGCAAACAAAGAAAATAACAATCTTATTATGCCAGAGTGTGATAAAGAAATTCAACAAATTACTAGAAACATATCACCCAACGAAAAGAAGAAACCAGTTGAGAAGAAAGATGTAAGAAGATCAAAACGGCATATAACAGATAAAAAAAATTTGTGTAGGTATAGAAATTATTTAAGATTATTCTAATTACACATATATGCTTGTATTAATAGATATTTTTGATTTTTTAATTTCTTTATATAATTTTTTATTTATTGGATATCCATTTTTATAGGGTGCGACGAGTATGACAATAATTGCACCAAAGACGACAGTTGTAATTTAAACGATGTGTGCACAATCGCAGATCAACCAGTACCATCGCGTGCTGTAGCAACACTGCCAGGATCATATCTTTCATTAAACAAATTATCTACTTCACAAGCTACAGCGGATGGTGTAACCTATGGAGTCTTTGCAAAACGTAATATTCGAAGGCGCACGCAATTTGGACCTATAGAAGGTGTATTGTGCTCTTACGACGGCTCGCCCTTTAAAAATGCTTTACCACTACTCTACGAAACTGAGAGTGGTGAATTGCTGCAAGTAGATGTTTCGAACGAAAGTAAGTAATGATCTATCGCGTCTGTTGATAAGATAATGAATTTTTGAATTCTTATTGTATTTTTTCAGATACTTCAAACTGGATGCGGTTTGTGCGGCCTGCCCTAACGTATAAGGAGCAAAATTTAATCATTTGTCAGCAGAAGGACGGAATAATATTTTTGACTAATAGAAACATTTCGCCGAAAGAAGAATTAAAGGCAGGCCCTAGTACAGACTATGCAAGTCGCAGAAATTTGCCAATACTTAAACCAGATGAAAAAGGTATACAAGATTGTGAATATAGGAATATTATATAGATTAGATTACTCTGAAATATTAATCAATGCAATTTTTTTTTTTACAGAGGTTACTAACCAAATTTCCATATGGCCGCGTTTGGATGGCAGTTCTTGTAACAATCGACGTGTAAAAATGTTTCGCGGCAGAAATATGAAAGAAAAGGAAAATTCACGGCAGAACAACAAGTGTAACAAGGAATGGAAATGTTCTGTGTGTAATCTGATTTTTAGAAAACCGTCTTTGCTTAACTTACACACAGTCGTTCATTCTTCCAATGATATCAAAATTGAGAATCAAATGACCACGTGTCCACAGTGTGGACTGGAATTCCAGAAGCAAAGTGAGTTGGTGAATCACGTATCTCAACATGGACGATCGGCACTACCCAAAACGAAGAGATTAACTCCTCTAAGTACATACAAGTGTTCAATGTGTTATAAACGTTTTGCTACAAAGATACGATTACAACAGCACTGCTTGGCGCATGGTGCTGAGGACCAAAAGCCACTGCCATGCAGTATCTGCTTGAAACGATTTATGAATAACTCTGCATTGTCTGGTCATCTGAAAACGCATAAAGGTAATAAGTCTATTACCTCTAATCTAAATAATAAGTCAATTAATGGGGATTTAATAAGAATTATATTATAACAATTCGGATTTGCAGAAAATAAGCAGGTCTTTGAGTGTCCAATGTGCAGGCAGCTTTTTCGCCAAGGTACAATGCTGAAGGATCATGTTGAGACGCATAGAAATCAAGACGGTATATTTAGCTGCCCCCACTGCCAGCGAACATTTATCAAGTATTCAGTTATTCGCAAACACATTCGGGCACATCATTGCGAAAGAAAACACAAATGTCAGCATTGTGCAAAACGTTTTCCGACGGTTGACAAATTGCGAATGCATTTGCTGAAACATTCTGATCATAGGTTTGTCATTTTGACAACACTTCCATAATTCTTTTCATTACATCAATTACATTAATAGTATTAATAAAAATCTGATTATTTTTATTTGCACAGGGAATTCCATTGTGCCAACTGTGGTAAGCGGTTCAAAAGAAAAGACAAATTGAAGGAGCATATGACTAAAATACATCACTCTCAAACAGTTAATGGAGAACAAATGACACAGAGCAACCAGGCAAAGAAATTTGTGCCAAAGGTATGTCGAAGTAAAAATGTGATAATGTGTGTGTATTTTTCTTCATTATTTATTTGTTATATATATTTTTGGTTGACAGGTAAATCCGAACGATTACAATCGCTTCATTTATAAATGCCATCAATGCCTAGTGGGTTTTAAACGAAGGGGAATGCTGGTAAATCACCTAGCGAAACGGCATCCTGACGTCGCACCGGAATCCGTGCCAGAATTGAACTTACCTATTCTACGGCAAACCAGAGACTATTACTGCCAGTATTGCGACAAGGTTTAATCACGCAATAAATTCGTATTTCCGCATGTAAAAATAAAATTATCATATTTTCATAAATATTGTATATTTTTCTTTCAAGGTTTACAAAAGTAGCAGTAAACGTAAAGCACACATTATGAAGAATCATCCGGGTGCGGCCTTGCCACCTAGTAATCGACAAAAGGAATCGGAATTCTCTGGACTGCCGAATCCGAGTTTTAGCCAAACAGTGGGCAGTGTCACAACTAGTCCTCAAGGTTGCCAGTGGTGTCACAAACAATACGCCAGCAAGGTAAGTTTCTTCTCTTGTATGAGATTGTATATTTGTTAACTGATAAAATCGGGAAAAAGTTAGAATGTATAAATTATAATTCAAGGCAAAACTCTTGCAACATCAACGCAAGAAACATGCTCATTTAATGGAGCCGGCGGATCAAATACCGCGATCGCGGAACCGGCCACCGCAAAATCAAAATCAACCACCCGCGTTAAACGATAACAACTTTGTAATATCCGATTACATACAAGGATGCGATGTAAACGGAGATTTTCTCAAACAAAAAATAATCAAAATCACGAACGACGTTGATCTGATAGGCAATGGTGGTCTGGAGATGGTCGGCCAGCAGTTTGTGCGTATGCGGGACATACGTTGAGGAGAAGTGTAGCATCCTCAATACGGAGGATGAGCGTCGCCAATTTAACGAGATATGAATCTCGCGATCTTTGTATGCAGCCGAGGCAGGCTGTTTTTTTTGCTGCCGTTACCAAATCGGGATCGATACTGCCCGATGATGAAGCGGTAAGGCATGTCGCCCGAAAAGATTTTGGGCTTTGTCGGCGTCGGTGCGAAACACTCGGCGCTGTTTTGTTGGTTGTACGTTGATCGGTTGACATTAACGACAGTTACCGATGATAAATAGCAGATTTGTTGGAAAGAGCACGCAGTTTTAAGAATACCGAACCTCTCGGAAAAAAACTGCCTAAAAACGTCGACTGGAAACCAGTGAGGCTCGAGTGTACTTGCAACGGAGAACATTGTAGTCTCACACAATTGTTGAGAGATTTCTT